CAAAAGACGTAGATCTAATGTGAATAAAATAGGTTCATTGCAGCATTTTTGACAAAGCAGGTCACTTATAGTAAAATTTAAAGTCGAAACTTAGGTCTATTAAAAACATATGTTTTTAGTGCACAGAAGTCATAGACACTGTGTCTCGACTCTGAATGTTAACCATATAGATGAACAAGATCTGATAAGTTCCGAGATCCTGGAATTGTTATTAAATTTAGAGAATGCTAATAAAGCCTAAAATGGGGCCTCATAGCCTAGCGGTCTTATTAAGTGGCAGCTAGGTGAGGGGTACCGGGTTCGATTCCCGGTTCGAAGGCAAGTTTTAATTTAATTTAAATTTGTTCTCGGCCTTTGGGAGTGTTGTGCGGTACCGGGCGAGTGCCTTAACCGTACATGAAGGACACGGTCGAATTTCTAAAGACGAGCACCAATTATAAAAAATCCTATACTTGACGCTGGCTAATGCACAAATCCTGCCAGAGCCATTAAAAAAAAGCCTAAATTAATATGTTTGATTTTAGTATCAAAAATTGTATTGAAAAATTGTATTGAAAAATTGTATGACTGTTATAATCGTTGTATCGTTGTATCACACTTACGCCGGCTTTTTCTCTCGGCCTACACCCTCTGTCTTCTTTGCCGATGAGTAGGGATGCCTTCAAATTTAATGACGTGGAATAAGTGATACATGTATCTTATGTTCCATAATAAACATATTTTATTTTTATTTTATTTTATTTTTTATTTTGAAGGATATTGAATAATCAAATCAAATTCTTAAAAAAAATATGTTTCTTCTATGTAACATTTCAGCCCACGTAATATTTTGCTGAAATCCTCTGGATTGTTTGCCTTGGTCTTAAATTCAGATATCGTTATCTATTTCGTGATCTCTTAGTTAAGAAAGTGTTTTGCTTTGTTATAATAGGCAGCTTCTGTCCCGTCGACTTTTTGGGTCTTAGACCCATGTCAGTTTTCTTCTGTTAATGTTTGACGACTCATTGGTCTAGTGGTTAGTACCCCTGACTGCAAATCCATGGGTCCCGGGTTCGATCCCCGGCTGAGACGAACATCGATGTGATGAGCATTTGGTGTTGTGCTTAGGTCTTGGGCGTTTAAATATGTATTTATATGTCTATCTATCTATAATATGTATGTATATCCGTTGCCTAGTACCCATAACACAAGCTTCACCAGCTTAGCATGGGACTAGGTCAATTGGTGTGAATTGTCTTTTATAAAAAAAAAAAATTTCATAAAAGTCTATTGGTACACAGCAGCTACCTACGACGATAGACGATAGTGCAAAATAATATAAGAGTACCTAAACACAACATAACAGCTTTGAAGTAAAAGCTTTGAACTTTACGCCTCATTCACATAACCAAATTACCGCATAACCGTTTAATTTGTCATTGTCGCCCCTGACAACAGACATACGATTCTCACATTATGTAACATTCGATTCTTTGTGGCCCATATTGAACCAGTTGAACCTGTCCGAGCTTAAATGGTGACCATAGCTTTTGAGTTTAAGAGACAACTATTTTTCGATCTACAAAATATGCAGTTTTTGTGTCCTAATTTATTTTTACACAATTAACACTTCATTGTCTCTTCATGTCATTTCGTTATATACTAATTCACCAAGGCATTCCTTTAAAGGCACTTATGAATAAAGGTTACAGGTGTCAAATATATTTATTTACTTTCCTAAATATCTGTTATTCGATAATCTAAAACTTTATGAAAAAACGTTTAAAATATCCTTACTCTTCCTTTATTACAAATGATAAATGACGTTTTATTAAGACAGTATAAAACTTCTATGAAGTGTGAAAAATACACTTTTCTGGGCTAGCTTAGCTTAGTCTTTTGTTACTCGAAATTATCTCACATAACTGTTTCGCTGGGAATCAAAGCTAGCTAGCCACCAACAGATATAGTTAAGTAAAACACCTCTCTACGGGATCATGTTTATTTGATAATATTTAAAAATAATACGTTAGAATTATAACTTAAACATGTTTTGTTATCTTCAAAGCAAAGTCCAAGTTATAAAAGCATGGTCACATTGTGGGCACATCGGAATTGTGATGTCATGTCGACCATGGCACACATACATGATTCCTTGCTCATCCACATATAAATTTCGATTTCATTGATTACTTTTAGCTTTTTTCGGTATTGTCAATGTCATCGCATTTCGCAAATTTAAAAAAAATGCATACGTACTTAAAAGCGCATTAAATGTGACCCTGGCTGAGAGTTTAGGTAAATATTGCATAGTTCATGCACAAGAGAGGTCGAAGTGATTAGCATAACATTTTGTAATGAAATGTAACAAATGTGTTTTAAAAATGTGCAATGTTAATGTTAAATAATAAGGTTGTTTTTAAAATACAGCGTAGAATAGCTACTTATAACTACTGGCTAGTGGCTTCATCCCTGAGGTCGTAGATTTGATCCACGGCTGTGCACCAATGGACTTTCTTTCTATGTGCGCATTTAACATTCGCTCGAACGGTGAAGGTAAACATCGAGAGGAAATCGGCTTGCCATAGACAAACGTCGACGGCGTGTCACGGGAGGTTGATCGCCTACTTGCCTATTAGATTTACAAATGATCATGAAATGGATATAGAAATCTGAGGCCCAGTAGAACGTAAAAAGGTTGCAGCGCCACTGATTTATTTTATTTATTTTGAATACGCCTGCTACAGTTAGGTTTCAAATGCTTAGAATGGCCGATATATTTCGCTTATACTCCGTTAAGTATGGCATCTGACCCAACGATTAGGACCAGCCACATCGATTTTGAATCTCACTATTAACTTTTTCCCGAAATTTAAACCTAAGACGTTGTGATCTGCATTCGAATGCTTTAGAACCAAAGAGGCAGTAAATAAACAACGATATTAGTGTATAAGGAGTTTTTCTGTGTAATTTAAAGGCCGGCAACGTACTTGTGAACCTTCTGGTAACGTGAGTATCCATGGGCAAACTTAACATCATATGAGCCTCCTCCCGTTTGCCCCCTGTTAAAACACATCATATAATTAAACTCTACACAATCAAGACTCAACGTTAAACTCAAACTCAAACTCAAACTCAAAATATCTTTATTCAAGTAGGTAACCAAGTACACTTTTGAATCGTCAAGTTAAATTAATCGTAAATTTACATTTACTACCAGTTCGCAAGTCAAGGGCGTAGAGCGGGTAAGAAGAACTGGCAAGAAACTTTCCGCCACTCTTTTTTAATCGCCAAGTATTGTCATACAAATTGTTTGAACTGGAGCAATTCAATCCCAAGGATTAGGATCATTTAAGTAGTCCTCAAATTTATAAAAAGCTTTGTTGATTAATTTTCGTTTAACGAGGGCTTTGAATTTATTTAGTGATAATTCTCTAATTTCGCTTGGGAGCTTGTTGTAAAAACGAATACAATTTCCATATAAGGAGTGGTTATCATTTAATGACGAACTTATCAACAGATCTCTGAAGATTGATCACTAGCAAAATGGTTTTTGACCCTTGAACTTTTGTTAAACTTTGAATTATATTTATCTTTTAATTATCTCTTACTGAGTTTATTTTACGATCTACTCCCCTGCCATAGGTACAGGGACTTTTTTCCATCTCTTACCTATATTTGTGTTTCTTAGTAAAAAGATGGTTGTGGTTATGGAATGGTTCATTAAATAAAATCATATATTATGATTTTATAATGTTAACAATTATTATTTATAATATTTATGGGCGCAGTTGCTTGCAAGACCCGTTCTTTCTTTTTTGCCTACTTTACATATTTAATCATTTGGCCGCAGAACCGTTCAGGCACGGTCTGTATTTTGTTATCGCCCTGTAGGCCGTAGTATTGTTACTGTTAATTAATTTTCTATATGTTTGTACGACTCAGCTAGATAATACTTAAAAGGTTATCTAAGGGAATTGGAGAATAAGGATGAAGGAATAAAATAAATAAAAAAAGCTTATAAAATCACGATTCTAATTTCCATTATTGTGTATTTTATCGATTCATAAAATCATTGGGTTCATAGTGAATATTCAGTTGCTAGTGAGCATTAACAGAAAAAGCTATTAGCATTTTATTTACTAAATAATTAAAAGAAATAATGTTTTGCGATTACAAGCATGTCGAAATATATACGGAAACTTCAGAGTTCAAACAGTACTGACCTCACGAATACGATGCCACAATTAACGTCTTCGTGATCTGCCATTTTGATGACCTGTTATTTTTACTATTATATAGCAATTCAAAATCATTTATAGTTCATTAATAATTTTTATGTAATAAAAATTAACTAGTGGCGCTACAACCTTTTGGACCGGACCTCAGATTTCTGTATCTGTTTCATGATCATTTGTCAATCTAATATACAAGTAGGTGATCAGCCTAAGTCAGGTTTTCTCACGATGTTTTCCTTTAACGTTCGAGTGAATGTTAAATGCGCACATAGAATGAATGTTCCACAGAGATGTAATAGTAATAATATGTTTATTCATTTAGGTAACACAATGTACATTTATGAACGTCGAAGAAGAAATATATATTAAATGCTTCTAATTCAACATTTGCCAGTTCTTAAATCAAGGGCGTAGAACGGAAGAGAAGAACTGGCAATAAACTTTCCGCCACTAAACTTTAATCGCCAAGTTTTTTGTTTTACGCAATGTTTGTAAGGAGCTGCAACCATTACACCATGTTCCACATGACATCTTAAGTATTCAATAGTTAATTTATAATAATAAAAAAAAAGATTTGTCCTCTATCAGCAGGAGGCATGGTGAAATAGGAGCACGCACTTACATTGTCGTATATACTATAGTTAGAAATTATGCCGGCAACATTTATTCGCTGTATTTTTACTAATTGAGACCGTTTATACTTGGCTTTTTAACAAAAATTAGGTTTCCACGCAATATGTAATGTAATTTTTTTTAATTTCAGGTCCCCATGAAGCGGCTGTCATGCGCATAGCGACACTGATTGCACTCGTGCAGGTAATAGATACATACTATTATTATGTATTAGTTTATTATGTAATAGGTTACAAATATAATATCAAAAGTTCATGTTAATCCAAACGTTCATACCGACTTTAAGGCTTACAATTAGACGAGTTTTGTTTGCAAATGAACGTTTATACAACACTTTTACATTCCGTAAAGATTCTAAAACAGATAGCAAAAACCTTTGAAGTTACTTTTAAATCCCAAATAATTAAGAGAAATTAAGTTTATATTTCCAACATAGATTGAAGAACTTATTGGCAATATGTAATAAACATATTACCTAAAGGCCGCTAAGCTCATTATTACTATATGTTATCTTAAGTTTCATCACTTTCAGTATGTCAGAGGTCAAATCGAATGTGAGGTATGATGTAAGCTATTGTTTTCGTATGACATATTGGTTATGACAGTTTCAATATACAAATCATAAATCATTATTTTATATTTCGAATGGGCTAAAATTCAGTGAATGATTGACGGTATTTGCACTAGAACAACTCGCTTTGACTTATCGATTTAATTCATACCAAAAACTATCAAATATTATCGCAGTACGCTTTTAACATACAGTAAAGTCGGAAACACACTTACGTGTCGTGGCGTGTCGTGACGCGCCAGAAGCATATTGGTTTCATACATTTAATATGATTAGAAACATATTTGCATGTTGTGTCGTGTCGCAACACGTTCTGTCTAATCATATTAAAATATGCTTCTGGCGCGTCACGACACGCCACGACACGTAAGGCCGTGGCCCCATGTCTACGGCACGGCACCGGCTACCGTGCAACGGCACGGCGCCGTCGCCGTGACACGGTACGACGCCGTGCCGCACCACGGTGCCGCGGGCGATGTGCGCGGGGGGCAATTCTCAGTCGATATTTCGCAGTTGTTGTACTCGGACGTGGTTATCTGGATATGGATCACGAAATTATTCTCCTGATGTTACTAAGACGACGAATGAAAAAAAAACAGAAACAGAGGAAATTTTGGGTAAATCCATATATTCTTACAATGAACCAAATAAAGAAATAAAGAAATCTACATCGATATTTTCCACCATTTTGTTTTAAACACATTAAACACATGCACGCACGCCACCTGCGAAATATCGACTGAGAATTGGCCCCCCGCGCACACCGCCCGCGGCACCGTGGTGCGGCACGGCGTCGTACCGTGTCACGGCGACGGCGCCGTGCCGTTGCACGGTAGCCGGTGCCGTGCCGTAGACATGGGGCCACGACACGTAAGTGTGTTTCCGCCTTAATGGAAAGGTACCTTCTGTTTAATATATACGAAAAAATTATTTCAACATGCACTGGAGATACAAATATAATTTACACTTGATTCTTGATAATCTGTTAAAAAGTTTCTTCATCATTTACCAAACCATTTAGCTGTCATGGATATGTCGTAACTTCAAACAAACGCGCTAAAGAGACACTTGTTAATAACTGTTGACTTCATTATGAATCTTTAAACACTTTATTTGATGTCAATTTAAATATTTTAGACATTATATACCCTATAAGGATGTGTAAAAATATGTTAATGATATTATTATTAATGATATGACTTTAATAAATATAAGGGTGCGTCCACATTTGGCGAATGCGTGCACATTCGCGGCATATTTGCCAGATGTGGACGCACCCTAAGGATATCGTGTAAAAAGAGAATGATTTAGTTTCTGTAAAAAAGACCCCTTTTTTTATTTACAAATGCCTTGCCCTCGAAAGTGTGGGGGTATGTGGGACTCGACACACACCAGAATCTCTGCTGTTTAGAGATTGGGTGAGCAATACCCACTAAAACCACCTCGAGTAGTTCCTTCAAATCCGGAGGCAATCCGCTCTCGCATTCTATCTGAGCATCAACGGCATAACTCTCAAACCTCTGGTGCAGTATTCACTAGATAGGAGGTCTATCCAGGAGATGGACATATCTTCTCCTATTTACTCTGCGTCTTCTTACCCTAGGATTCATCCTAGATCACACCCTTAACAAAGACCCGCTAAGAATACGTGTGTAGATACTGAAAATCTATAATTAATTCTGCTGTAGCTGTCGCTCGCTACAGCTGTTTCAGACGAGAAAACACTTACAGCAGCAGAGCTGAACTTCCAGTTATCTGGAAACAATGCTCTCTCCCCATTTTACTCCAGCGAGAGTGATGAGACCGGTGTGACCTTCGTCAGAGGTTCCCGTGCTGCGGACTCGCCCCTCTCTCCGGATATCGATGTGAAATGTTCGGCTGACTTCATTGAAGTCACTGTTGAATTTGCTGATGTCTTTGATGGCATAATTTACAGCAAGGGACATTTGAATGACGCAAAATGCAAGTAAGTAATCAAACTGAATTATATTAAAATCAAACACTAAAAATGTATTACTATATGAAATCGAGTATTTTATTTTAAAATCAATTTATAAAATTTTCAAGTTTTATAATGAAATAATTATTATTCAATAATGGTAGAAATATTGTTTCTTTTATTCTATTCACAAAATGTCATGTAAACATTATTTGCTGATAATTGATATAAATTAAATAATTTAATTAGAAACCACTTAGACAAATTAAAATAGAAAAACTAATTTCATATTTAAAAAAAACTAAAGGGAATTTTCCTTACGACGCGTATGTGTTATTCTTTTTTGTGTAATTTCAAACGATTTCGATTAAGATACAAAATTTTAGGACAATTTAAATGATTTTGTTAACATTTTTTTTTTTTTCAGATATGTTTCGATTGGTGGTAGTCAGTCGCGTTACTCTTTCCGAGTGCCATTGAATGGCTGTGGTTCCAGACCTCTGTGTAACGCGTGTGGTACTATTGACAATGTTCTTGTCTTCCAAACCGATGACTTTGTGCAGGGCCCCAGCGACTTCGCTAGAAAGGTATCATTCTCTTACTAATAGCCATATAACATAACTCAAAGAGAACAGATATATTTTTACGTTTCATTAAATATTATTTTTCATTACCAGTTCGTATCCACCAACGCGACATAATTAGCAGACGCGAACGAAAGATTTGTTTATTTATTCACAATAAATTCATAATGTCCAAAAATAAAATATATAATAGTAAATACATAAGATATACAATATCGCTACTGTGAACTCACTCTGGGAACATATAAGTCAATTGTGTCGAAGACAGCATTCAGTAAGCGCAACGACTTTGTTAATGCGGGAATCTGTGAATTGTGAAACAAATTCTGACCCTTGTATCTTGATACATCGTTGACAAATTATACAAAAGAAATTATTTACCGATGCACAAAAAGCACTGTTCAGTACGAAACTTTAATTTCTATTTAATATTATAAAATATTAAAATATATTGCTAATCTAATATTTAAAATTCTCGTGTCACAGTTTTCGTTGCCATACTCCTCCAAAACGGCTCGACCGATTCTCATGAAATTTTGTGTGCATATTGGGTATGTCTGAGAATCGGACAACATCTATTTTTCATCCCCCTAAATGTAAGGGTAGTCCACCCCTAGGTTATTTTGTTTTAATTTTTTGATATTTTTTTTTGTTTTTATGATACAGCATTAAAAAATACATACAACCCCTAATTTTCACCCCTCTACGATCAACCCCTATTTTTTAATATAAATGATATACATGGCAAAACGACGTTTGCCCGGTCAGCTAGTATTCTATAAAAATGTTTAGTGTATATCGTACAAATATATTGCTTTTAATATATTTTTCCTTAAATCAATAAAAATACATAAATATACACGATATATGAAAATTGGAAATCGAAATTAAATTAAGTAAATTTTCACGTTAAAATCTTCATATTAAAAAATTGAGTGATATATTATACAAAATAAGAAATAATTGAGGATTGAATGTTGTTGTAGGCTTATGACTTCTGTTGCAGACTCCATAGACACACATCTATATTATAACAACTTTTCAGGTATCCTGCGCCAGCACAGCGCTGGAAGTATCCACCGGGGTCAAGAAAGAGTCTTCACACGTCCTCAAACTAAAACCCTTCATGGTTGACATGCTCGATGTGGTCGCAGTACCTGGACCTACTGGTGGCATTGAGTGCTGGATGGATATTCAAAGAGGAGAATTTCCTAAAGTTAGTACACATTGTACGGACTTAGTTTTAGTCTAGACTCTAGAGGCCATTCGCGAATCACCACCCAGTCGAATACGAAATTCTTATGATTAATACTCACCAACATTTAAGAGAAACAATATTTTATAACTACTAGGAAATGTTGACAGCGTTAAATTTAAAAATTTGGTCCCTGTGGCAGTGTACCTTTAATTTTTAATTATTTTTATTATTACTTTGTAGGTTAAGAAAATAGTAAATACAAATTGTACGTATGTAGCATGATTAAATGATTATAGTAAAACTAGTAAGATCTAGAGATAACTGTATGTGAACTCTCTTACCCGAGTAAACCAACAATTTTCGACCGTACCTTTTGAAGGAGCGTACTTGATACGATTCCCATATATTGTAACCTGTCTCAGGAGATACATTAATACAACTTATAAAAAAATCAGTGGCTCTACAACCTTTTTTATAGTCTGGGCTTCAGATATCTGGGTCATGATCATATGTCAATCTAATAGGCAAGTAGCTGATCCGAATCATGTACCGGACACGCCGTCGACTTTTTGGGACTAAAGCAAGCCGGTTTCCTCACGATGTTTTCCATCACTGTTCGAGCGAATGTTATATGCCCATATAGAAAAATGTCCATTGGCGCACAGCCGGGTATCGGAACTACGACCTCAAGGATGAGAGTCACACGCTAAAGCCACTAGGCCAACACTGCATTATATTATGGAAAAAAATGGCAATTTCTTAAATTGCTTTGAAATTTTACATAAATTGTTTGCACTAATAAAAAACAATAAGCATAGATTATATACAATGTTTATTTATAGTAAATTCTTTAACATATTATTTAAATTAAACTAAAAGCACTGATCTATTATAATATATCCTAATATCTTACAGTTGATTTTTTTTCAATTTTATTCGTAGGTATATTTAAAAATAGAATTGGCACTCTTATCTTTCAGACAACTCCCTTGGAAAAATCGATTAAGATTGGAGAGTATCTCACCATCCTTATATATCTAAGAGACGAAAGAAACAAGTTCAGCTTAAAGGTACACGACTGCTGGGCATATGATAATGAAGACTACGATAGTCCTCAAACAAGCAAAATACAGCTCACAGACAAAGAAGGATGCCCCAAGTATGTTATAACCTCTTCTTTATTTCTATACTGTTTTAAGACATTGTTAAGTACCCATCTGATAATCCGCTGTTTTGCTAGTCATTTTTATTGTATTTTTGTGTTATATATATATTTTATCATTTATGTTTACCATATCCTATATATATAAATTACGTGTCACGTTGTTTGTCCGCTATGGACTCCTAAACTACTTAACCGATTTCAATCAAATTTGCACACCGTGTGCAGTTTCATCTAACTTAAAAGATAGGATACCTTACATCTTAATTTATACCCGCAATATTAATTTATTGCAAATTATTTGTTTATTATTTGACAGTCACAATTCTAACAGATAGCGCTGTGTTGAAAGTACCAACGTTTCACATAAGCTACAATTTAATGTCATAACCACCAAAAAAGGCATAGTGGTCCCCATGACTGGTGTTCTCCTACCGTTTCCCTTGAATAGTAAACTACTATGTAATATAACAAAAACTTTAGCCACAGCAGAGCTTGGTCGAGTCTGCTATTTGTCTTATATAGAAAAGATAGCTTGTAACATATACTGTAGATCGTCGTTTGTCTAGCGGGCGGGTCGCAGTCTGTTGAAAAATAATAAATACAAACTACATATAGGAACAAAAGATACGTTTATTAAAGGAATGAATAATTATAGTGTAGCGTTATAGTCTTATACGAGTAACTCAGTTTCAGTCTTTATGCCTAAAAATAAAATAGTCGTATAAAAAATAATAAAATAAATATAAACTTGCTATATCAGACTGTACCATCATGTAGTACGATGCCACATCTAGTAAAAAATCGAATTCGAACTTCTATGTTTTGACTGATCGAGTTTATTATGTCTACCCACATTTTTGTTGCTATTTTGTTTTGTTATTTTATATACGTACATCTGTGCGCTCTAATTATTAATCTTAATTTTACATATTGTTTCTCAGTAAGTGAATTATATATGCAGTTCTTATGAGAAATAAAGTTATTCTTAAACCTATAATCTTATAGTAACGGGGTAGCAAGGCTGTTTTACTTAACTTATTTTCTTTTTCGTGGGTCGCGATATAAAAATAGTTGAGAAACGATGCTGTAGATATAGCATTATGTATGACGTGGTGAACTTTAATAAGCTAATATTGTCTTCCTATTTTTATATAATGTTATTGGATATAGTGAAAGATACATAAATTCAATTTTAAGACCAAAGAAGAAACAACAAAACACAATCTAATATATAAAATTCTCGTGTCACAATGTTCGTTCTCATACTCCTCTGATACAGGTCCTCTGATTTTTATGAAATTTTTTATGCATATTCAGTAAGTCTGAGAATCGGCTATCTATCTATCTTTCAAATCCCTAAATGCTTAGGGTGGTCCACCCCTAAATTTTTATTTTTTAGATAAAATAATTTGATTAAATTTTTGTAATGGTACAGTAATGGTACAGCATACCAAAATACATACAATCCTTAATTTTCTGCCCTCTACGATCAACCCCCTATCTTTTATTTGTTAGTTAAGAAATTATAACTTGAACTCTGAAGTTTATATAGAGAAAAATCACAGAAAAACCTAAAAAGTTTTCATTCCGGAAAACCGAACAGTCTCTGGGGTAGCATAGCAAAATTTTCCATGTTGGTATGTACTAAAAAGGTAGGCTAGGTATTAAGGAGAAACGAAGTTCGCGGGGGCAGCTTTATTGCAGTATTATTATATTATTTCCCTCTTCAATTTCAGAAAGAAGAAGTTGATTGATTATTGGCAAACATCGACGAATACTGGCAAGAGTGGTGCCACTGTAATCACTTACAGCAAAGTCAGTGCCTTCCGCTTTCCAGAGACTGACCAAGTCTATTTAACATGTAATGTTGAGGTAAGAAATTGTATACTTAAAACAAAAGCCTTCTTTGACACAACGTTTTGTTTATTAATTTATTTTTTAAACTTCGTTACATTAAAAGAAACAAATAACATTAATTATTAGGGATGAAACGGTGGCCGTATGGCAAGCGATCTCTACCAAGCAAGCCTAAGGTAACCCTAAGTAAAGTGCATAACTGACTCAACAAAAATAAAATTACAAGTCACACTGAAAAATTATAGTTACCAAACTTAATCTAGAATAAAAAATAATACAATAGGCACAAAACTAAAATCAAATCTCACGGTTCTTGAATTACAATGCAATATTATTAATTATTATTATTTTTAATTTCTAAATAGAGTGTTCCTTAATTAATCCGTGGCTCTTTACTGTACTTAATTATTTCCGCTCTTTCTGATCCATAACGTGATGGATTCCTTTTTAAAGTATATAGTATATAACATTTTAGTAACTCTTTTTTATGAATGCCTTATTTTTTAAAATAATATTTTGCATGAGAAAGAGTCCAATAACACACATCTATCTTCGGAAAAGGCTATGTTCCATTTGTAACATAATTATTTAGCAGGTAGCACTGACATGCAATTTTCATCCTTCTCACTAGGTCCATGCAAAGATATCATAACGTACCTTTATTCCTCTTATGGGTAATACGAAACCGCCAGATAGAACAGGTTCATTTTCAGTATTTTTTATAAAAATGGTTTTTAACTATTTTTCAAAGATTTATCTAGCCACATTGCAAGACGTGACAATCCGCTCACATTGTTATGTTATTAATACTTATTTAAGTTCCGAATTTTTAATTTCCAGTTGTGCACAAGTGACTGCCAGTCAAACTGTGAAGGCAATGAAATAACAACAACATTCAGACCAGAATTTAAATGTTACCCCGGTTCAAACGATGCCAGATGTGGAGTAACAGCACCTCCACAAATAGTATGTGGACCTGATTCTGAAGACTCTCGATGCCCAAAGCCAACAACTCTATCACCTCCAAGATGCTTCCCTGGAAGCCTTGATCCACGTTGCCCTTCACCAACTACTCCTGAAGCACCAAGATGCTTCCCTGGTAGTAACGACCCTCGTTGTCCACAACCTACTACACCACAGCCACCTAGATGTTACCCAGGCAGTTCCGATCCACGTTGTCCTCAACCAACTACGCCACAGCCTCCAAGATGTTTCCCAGGCAGCACAGACCCGCGTTGCCCCAAACCAACTACTCCTGAAGCACCAAGATGCTTCCCTGGTAGTAACGACCCTCGTTGTCCACAACCTACTACACCACAGCCACCTAGATGTTACCCAGGCAGTTCCGATCCACGTTGTCCTCAACCAACTACGCAACAGCCACCTAGATGTTACCCAGGTAGCACAGACCCACGTTGCCCCAAACCAACGACACCAGCTCCGCCCAGATGTTTCCCAGGCAGCACAGACCCACGGTGTCCAAAACCTACAACACCTAAACCAATTTGCTATCCAGGCTCCCCAGATCCCAGCTGTCCTCAGCCTTCAAGCATAGCAACCTTAACTCCAGCCACGTATCTACCTCCATCAACAACAGAAAAACTGCAATGTCTCCCAGGCAGCAGTGACCCACGTTGTCCACAACCCACTACACCATCTCCACCAAGATGTTTCCCAGGTAGCACAGACCCACGTTGCCCCAAACCTACGACACCTGAAGCACCAAGATGTTTCCCAGGCAGCACAGACCCGCGGTGCCCCAAACCAACTACTCCTGAAGCACCAAGATGCTTCCCTGGTAGTAACGACCCTCGTTGTCCACAACCTACTACACCACAGCCACCTAGATGTTACCCAGGCAGTTCCGATCCACGTTGTCCTCAACCAACTACGCAACAGCCACCTAGATGTTACCCAGGTAGCACAGACCCACGTTGCCCCAAACCAACGACACCAGCTCCGCCCAGATGTTTCCCAGGCAGCACAGACCCACGGTGTCCAAAACCTACAACACCTAAACCAATTTGCTATCCAGGCTCCCCAGATCCCAGCTGTCCTCAGCCTTCAAGCATAGCAACCTTAACTCCAGCCACGTATCTACCTCCATCAACAACAGAAAAACTGCAATGTCTCCCAGGCAGCAGTGACCCACGTTGTCCACAACCCACTACACCATCTCCACCAAGATGTTTCCCAGGTAGCACAGACCCACGTTGCCCCAAACCTACGACACCTGAAGCACCAAGATGTTACCCCGGCAGTAGTGACCCACGTTGTCCACAACCCACTACACCATCTCCCCCAAGATGCTTCCCAGGCAGCACAGACCCACGTTGTCCCAAACCTACTACTCCTGAAGCACCAAGATGTTACCCCGGCAGTAGTGACCCACGTTGTCCACAACCCACTTCACCATCTCCCCCAAGATGCTTCCCAGGTAGCACAGACCAGCGTTGCCCCAAACCTACGACACCGGCTCCGCCAAGATGTTTCCCAGGCAGCACAGACCCACGTTGTCCCAAACCTACTACTCCTGAAGCACCAAGATGTTACCCCGGCAGTAGTGACCCACGTTGTCCACAACCCACTACACCATCTCCCCCAAGATGCTTCCCAGGCAGCACAGACCCACGTTGTCCCAAACCTACAACTCCAGAAGCACCAAGATGTTACCCCGGCAGTAGTGACCCACGTTGTCCACAACCCACTACACCATCTCCCCCAAGATGCTTCCCAGGCAGCACAGACCCACGTTGTCCCAAACCTACTACTCCTGAAGCACCAAGATGTTACCCCGGCAGTAGTGACCCACGTTGTCCACAACCCACTACACCATCTCCCCCAAGATGCTTCCCAGGCAGCACAGACCCACGTTGTCCCAAACCTACAACTCCAGAAGCACCAAGATGTTACCCCGGCAGTAGTGATCCACGTTGTCCACAACCCACTACACCATCTCCCCCAAGATGCTTCCCAGGCAGCACAGACCCACGTTGTCCCAAACCTACTACTCCTGAAGCACCGAGATGTTACTCCGGCAGTAGTGACCCACTTTGTCCACAACCCACTACACCATCTACGCCAAGATGTTTCCCAGGCAGCACAGACCCACGTTGTCCCCAACCTACTACGCAACAGCCACCTAGATGTTACCCAGGCAGTACAGATTCACGTTGTCCCAAACCTACAACAGCGAAACCAATTTGCTATCCAGGCTCCCCAGATCCCAGCTGTCCACAGCCTTCAAGCGTAGCAACATTAACTCCAGCCACGTATCTACCTCCATCAACAACAGAAAAACTGCAATGTCTCCCAGGCAGCAGTGACCCACGTTGTCCACAACCCACTACACCTGAAGCACCAAGATGTTTCCCAGGTAGCACAGACCCACGTTGCCCCAAACCTACGACACTTGAAGCACCAAGATGTTACCCCGGCAGTAGTGACCCACGTTGTCAACAACCCACTACACCATCTCCCCCCAAGATGCTTCCCAGGCAGCACAGACCCACGTTGTCCCAAACCTACTACTCCTGAAGCACCAAGATGTTACCCCGGCAGTAGTGACCCACGTTGTCCACAACCCACTACACCATCTCCGCAAAGATGTTTCCCAGGTAGCACAGACCCACGTTGCCCCAAACCTACGACACCTGAAGCACCAAGATGTTATCCCGGCAGTAGTGACCCACGTTGTCCACAACCCACCACACCATCTCCCCCAAGATGCTTCCCAGGCAGCACAGACCCACGTTGTCCCAAACCTACTACTCCTGAAGCACCAAGATGTAACCCCGGCAGTAGTGACCCACGTTGTCCACAACCCACTACACCATCTCCCCCAAGATGCTTCCCAGGCAGCACTGACCCACGTTGCCCACAACCAACGACTCCTGAAGCACCAAGATGTTACCCCGGTAGTTCCGATCCACGTTGTCCAAAACCTACGACACCAGCTCCGCCAAGATGCTTCCCAGGCAGCACAGACCCACGTTGCCCAAAACCTACTACTCCTGAAGCACCAAGATGTTACCCCGGTAGCTCCGATGCACGTTGTCCCCAACCTACTACGCAACAGCCACCTAGATGTTACCCAGGTAGCACAGACCCACGTTGCCCCAAACCAACGACACCAGCTCCGCCCAGATGTTTCCCAGGCAGCACAGACCCACGGTGTCCAAAACCTACAACACCTAAACCAATTTGCTATCCAGGCTCCCCAGATCCCAGCTGTCCTCAGCCTTCAAGCATAGCAACTTTAACTCCAGCCACGTATCTACCTCCATCAACAACAGAAAAACTGCAATGTCTCCCAGGCAGCAGTGACCCACGTTGTCCACAACCCACTACACCATCTCCCCCAAGATGCTTCCCAGGCAGCACAGACCCACGTTGTCCCAAACCTACTACTCCTGAAGCACCAAGATGTTACCCCGGCAGTAGTGACCCACGTTGTCCACAACCCACTACACCATCTCCCCCAAGATGCTTCCCAGGCAGCACAGACCCACGTTGTCCCAAACCTACTACTCCTGAAGCACCAAGATGTTACCCCGGCAGTAGTGACCCACGTTGTCCACAACCCACTTCACCATCTCCCCCAAGATGCTTCCCAGGTAGCACAGACCAGCGTTGCCCCAAACCTACGACACCGGCTCCGCCAAGATGTTTCCCAGGCAACACAGACCCACGTTGTCCCAAACCTACTACTCCTGAAGCACCAAGATGTTACCCCGGCAGTAGTGACCCACGTTGTCCACAACCCACTACACCATCTCCCCCAAGATGCTTCCCAGGCAGCACAGACCCACGTTGTCCCAAACCTACTACACTCAAACCAATTTGCTATCCAGGCTCCCCTAGATCCCAGCTGTCCACAGCCTTCAAGCAAAGCAACCTTAACTCCAGCCACTTATCTACCTCCATCAACAACAGAAAAACTGCAATGTCTCCCAGGCAGCAGTGACCCACGTTGTCCACAACCCACTACACCATCTCCGCCAAGATGTTTCCCAGGCAGCACAGACCCACGTTGCCCAAAACCTACTACCCCTGAAGCACCAAGATGTTACCCCGGTAGCTCCGATGCACGTTGTCCCCAACCTACTACGCAACAGCCACCTAGATGTTACCCAGGTAGCACAGACCCACGTTGCCCCAAACCAACGACACCAGCTCCACCCAGATGTTTCCCAGGCAGCACAGACCCACGGTGTCCAAAACCTACTACTCCTGAAGCACCAAGATGTTACCCCGGTAGCTCCGATCCACGTTGTCCTCAACCTACTACGCCACAGCCTCTTAGATGTTTCCCAGGCAGCACAGACCTACGTTGTCCCAAACCTACTACTCCTGAAGCACCAAAATGTTATACCGGTAGTTCCGATCCACGTTGTCCAAAACCAACGACACCAGCTCCGTCCAGATGTTTCCCAGGCAGCACAGACCCACGTTGCCCAAAACCTACTGCCCCTGAAGCACCAAGATGTTACCCCGGTAGCTCCGATGCACGTTGTCCCCAACCTACTACGCAACAGCCACCTAGATGTTTCCCAGGTAGCACAGACCCACGTTGCCCCAAACCAACGACACCAGCTCCACCCAGATGTTTCCCAGGCAGCACAGACCCACGGTGTCCAAAACCTACTACTCCTGAAGCACCAAGATGTTACCCCGGTAGCTCCGATCCACGTTGTCCTCAACCTACTACGCCACAGCCTCTTAGATGTTTCCCAGGCAGCACAGACCTACGTTGTCCCAAACCTACTACTCCTGAAGCACCAAAATGTTATCCCGGTAGTTCCGATCCACGTTGTCCAAAACCAACGACACCAGCTCCGCCCAGATGTTTCCCAGGCGGCACAGACCCACGGTGTCCAAAACCTACTACTGAAGCACCAAGATGTTACCCCGGTAGCTCCGATCCACGTTGTCCTCAACCTACTACGCCACAGCCTCTTAGATGTTTCCCAGGCAGCACAGACCTACGTTGTCCCAAAACTACAACACCTAAACCAATTTGCTATCCAGGCTCCCCAGATCCCAGCTGTCCTCAGCCTTCAAGCATAGCAACCTTAACTCCAGCCACGTATTTACCTCCATCAACAACAGAAAAACTGCAATGTTTCCCAGGCAGCAGTGACCCACGTTGTCCACAACCCACTACTCCATCTCCGCCAAGATGTTTCCCAGGCAGCACAGACCCACGTTGTCCCAAACCCACTACTCCTGAAGCACCAAGATGTTACCCTGGTAGCTCCGATGCACGTTGTCCCCAACCTACTACGCAACAGCCACCTAGATGTTACCCAGGTAGCACAGACCCACGTTGCCCGAAACTTACGACACCAGCTCCGCCAAGATGCTTCCCAGGCAGCTCAGACCCACGTTGCCCAAAACCCACTACTCCTGAAGCACCAAGATGTTACCCTGGTAGCTCCGATGCACGTTGTCCCCAACCTACTACGCAACAGCCACCTAGATGTTACCCAGGTAGCACAGACCCACGTTGCCCCAAACCATCGACACCAGCTCCGCCAAGATGCTTCCCGGGCAGCACAGACCCACGTTGTCCAAAACCTACTACCCCTGAAGCACCAAGATGTTACCCCGGTAGCTCCGATGCCCGTTGTCCCCAACCTACTACGCAACAGCCACCTAGATGTTACCCAGGCAGTACAGATCCACGTTGTCCAAAACCTACAACACCCAAACCAATTTGCTATCCAGGCTCCCCAGATCCTAGCTGTCCTCGGCCTTCAAGCATAGCTACCCTAACCCCAGCCACGTATTTACCTCCATCAACAACAGAAAAACTGCAATGTCTCCCAGGCAGCAGTGACCCACGTTGTCCACAACCCACTACACCATCTCCGCCAAGATGTTTCCCAGGCAGCACAGACCCACGCTGTCCCAAACCCACTACTCCCGAAGCACCAAGATGTTACCCTGGTAGCTCCGATGCACGTTGTCCCCAACCTACTACGCAACAGCCACCTAGATGTTACCCAGGTAGCACAGACCCACGTTGCCCCAAACCTACGACACCAGCTCCGCCAAGATGCTTCCCGGGCAGCACAGATCCACGTTGCCCAAAACCTACTACCCCTGAAGCACCAAGATGTTACCCCGGTAGCTCCGATGTACGTTGTCCCCAACCTACTACGCAACAGCCACCTAGATGTTACCCAGGTAGCACAGACCCACGTTGCCCCAAACCATCGACACCAGCTCCGCCAAGATGCTTTCCGGGCAGCACAGACCCACGTTGTCTAAAACCTACTACCCCTGAAGCACCAAGATGTTACCCCGGTAGCTCCGATGCACGTTGTCCCCAACCTACTACGCAACAGCCACCTAGATGTTACCCGGGCAGCACAGACCCACGTTGCCCAAAACCTACTACCCCTGAAGCACCAAGATGTTACCCCGGTAGCTCCGATGCACGTTGTCCCCAACCTACTACGCAACAGCCACCTAGATGTTACCCAGGTAACACAGACCCACGTTGCCCGAAACCTACGACACCAGCTCCGCCAAGATGTTTCCCAGGCAGCTCAGACCCACGTTGCCCAAAACCCACTACTCCTGATGCACCAAGATGTTACCCTGGTAGCTCCGATACACGTTGTCCCCAACCTACTACGCAACAGCCACCTAGATGTTACCCAGGTAGCACAGACCCACGTTGCCCCAAACCTACGACACCAGCTCCCCCAAGATGCTTCCCGGGCAGCACAGACCCACGTTGCCCAAAACTCACTACCCCTGAAGCACCAAGATGTTACCCCGGTAGCTCCGATGCCCGTTGTCCCCAACCTACTACGCAACAGCCACCTAGATGTTACCCAGGCAGTACAGATCCACGTTGTCCAAAACCTACAACACCCAAACCAATTTGCTATCCAGGCTCCCCAGATCCTAGCTGTCCTCAGCCTTCAAGCATAGCTACCCTAACCCCAGCCACGTATTTACCTCCATCAACAACAGAAAAACTGCAATGTTTCCCAGGCAGCAGTGACCCACGTTGTCCACAACCCACTACACCATCTCCACCAAGATGTTTCCCAGGCAGCACAGACCCACGTTGTCCCAAACCTACCACTCCTGAAGCACCAAGATGTTACCCTGGTAGCTCCGATGCACGTTGTCCCCAACCTTCTACGCAACAGCCACCTAGATGTTACCCAGGTAGCACAGACCCACGTTGTCCCAAACCTACTACTCCTGAAGCACCAAGATGTTACCCTGGTAGCTCCGATGCACGTTGTCCCCAACCTACTACGCAACAGCCACCTAGATGTTACCCAGGTAGCACAGACCCACGTTGCCCTAAACCTACTACTCCTGAAGCACCAAGATGTTACCCTGGTAGCTCCGATGCACGTTGTCCCCAACCTACTACGCAACAGCCACCTAGATGTTACCCAGGTAGCACAGACCCACGTTGCCCTAAACCTACTACTCCTGAAGCACCAAGATGTTACCCTGGTAGCTCCGATGCACGTTGTCCCCAACCTTCTACGCAACAGCCACCTAGATGTTACCCAGGTAGCATAGACCCACGTTGCCCCAAACCTACGACCCTAGCTCCGCCAAGATGTTTCCCAGGCAGCTCAGACCCACGTTGTCCCAAACCTACTACTCCTGAAGCACCAAGATGTTACCCTGGTAGCCCCGATGCACGTTGTCCTCAACCCACTACGCAACAGCCACCTAGATGTTTCCCAGGTAGCATAGACCCACGTTGCCCCAAACCTTCGACCCCAGCCCCGCCAAGATGCTTCCCAGGCAGCACAGACCCACGTTGTCCCAAACCTACTACTCCTGAAGCACCAAGATGTTATCCCGGTAGTTCCGATCCACGTTGTCCCCAACCTACTACGCCACAGCCACTCAGATGTTTCCCAGGCAGCACAAACCCACTATGTCCATCAACGCCTACCCCAAAACCTACACCAAGTTCTTGCTACCCTGGATCAAAGGATCCTAAATGTCCTCAACCGTTTGCCCCAAGCAGTACAAACCCACCTCAAGATTATCTTCCTCCAGTTGGTAATGAAATAAATTCATCTATCAAGGGAAAACTGGCTCGAAAAAGCATAGAAGATTATGATGATCCTTTAAGTGATGCCGGTAAGACCTATTACCTAACCTAATACTTATTATATATATACTAACAGACAACTATCGAATAATATTAATTATTTATGTTTTGTTACAGGATCCTTTGAGTTTTCGCGTACACAACCTAAAAAAAGAGTTGCAAGAGACATAAGCAAAAATGCCAATAACTTAATAGATCCTTATGGAGCCGGGTACATTTACGGGACATTTGTAGGGGTTACAGTATTTATTGTTTTCTCTGTAGCTCTATCAGTTTTTATGTATAAACGATCACGAGTCCAAAAACAAACAAATGTACAAAACCTTTGTTAATAAGTAACTTATTTAGAAGAACTTTCAATCGTTACATTCTAACATTGTAAGGATTGAAAATCCAGACTCATACTCAATTGATTATTGTGATATTTCATTGTTCTGCTTAATTTTACGTATTTTTAAGAATGGCATATATGTGATAATTGCCGAACAATCACTGCCTTAGTTTTATTGAGTGACTAATTTATAACCAGTTTAATTTTATAGTGCCATAATAGTAACTGCCAGATTCATAAATTGTGCCAAACTACTGACCCAAATTTGGCCGAAATCAAATTTGAGTGATTGACAGTCTCGTGTAAAATTTATTTCGAGAAGTTTCGATTCCTTCGACTTTAAGCAAATCACCCAAATTGAGGCAAAGTAGCAAAAAATATCTCTACACTTTTCACAAGTGTTAAGTTTGGCACATTTCGAAAATTCCTGATGATGACAACCAGTTTTGTAGTCACTAGTCAATTTATCCTGCAAATACTATTTTTTTTACTTTTTATATTAAATATATATATTAAAACACATTATTTTGTAAATACACTGCCAATTTTTGTAGCAATACCCTTAAAATTATTATCAAACATTATTGTCTACAGTGTATAGTCTTATCGCTTAATTTTAGTGTCATGCTAATTTGGGCAGTTATAATGAAATCGTATATTTAGATTTGACAAAATAATATCTTTGGAGAGTCAAACTCTAATGTATGCTTTCGTCTAATTGTCTGAATACTTTTAAATTGTTACCGTATTTCTAACTACTCTGCCGTCATGTACGCAATGATGTAATATATTGTTTATATTATGTAACATATATTATGTAATAAGATCGCTTATTGAATGAATACAAGTGTGTTAAACATTCCATGAATGTATTTTGTGTTTTTAATATTTCCCTAATCCCCATTATGTACACCACATTTGGCTCATAGCCTAATATACATTATTTATCAATAAAATAAATGCAAGAACAGACCATTAATCAATGCGCACAGGGTTTAAAGTTTTTTTATAAAATAAAAGACACTATTATATTGAAAAATACATTTACTTCGGTTTATATAATTAATTACTATAACTACAAAAATACCTATATTTACTTCATAATATGGAAAAAAATAGTGGCACTACAACCTTATTATTTCTGTACCTGTTTCATGATCATTTGTCAATCTAATAGGAAAGTAGGTGATCAGCCTCGTGAGCCTGAAACACGCCGTCGAGTTTTTGGGTGTATAACAAGCTGGTTTCCTCATTCACCGTTCTAGCGAATGATAAATGCGCATATACAAAGAAAGTTCATTGGTGCACAGCTCGGGATCGAACCTACAACCTCAGGGAATAGAGTGGCACGCTAGCCACTAGGCCAACATAGCTTTATTATTACAGAAACAAATGCCAATTTATTATAAAGAAATTGTTTGCTCTAATAAAACACAATGCATAAATTATATACAATGTTTATTAACAGTAAATTCGTTAACATATTCTTTTAATTAAACTTAAAGCTAGCGTTCAATAAACTTAATTCTCAATGGTCCATCTGGCGTATACATCGGATAAATATGGTAATCCAGAGGCTTGTGGTGATACTCCATTTTGTAGTTTTGAATAATCTATAATAAAAACACAAGTTACAAAAAATAAAAAACGGCTCAAATATAAGAGTCCTTCCTCCAACTTCGATTTTGTTCCCTTTGGAGTAGAGACTCTTGGGCCGTGGGGTTCAAGTGCACAGGCGCTTATTAAAGATTTAAGTTGGCGCCTAGTAGATATAGACCGGTGACCTGGCACTTTCCTTGCTCAACGAATAAATATCGCAATACAGCGAGGAAAGCATACCAGCATTTTTTTTTACAGAACAGGGCAAACGGACAGGAGGCTCACCTGATGGTAAGTGATACCGCCGCCCATGGACACTCTCAATGCCAGAGGGCTCGCGAGTGCGTTGCCTGCCTTTTAAGAATTAGTACGCTCTTTTCGTGAAGGACCCTAAGTCGAATTGGTTCGGAAATACTTCAGGCAGCTGGTTCCACAAAGTGGTGGTGCTCGGCAAGAACTATTTGTTAGACACGCTAAAAATACCTCTTTTTCTTTGCCAAATAACGCGAAAGACAACATACAAGAAACATATTAAGACTAGAAGAGATAATGTAGTTTTTCAAGTAGATTAATTCAGTTGTCGTCATTTGATTTTCTACTAGTAAGAACCGATATTACGTAATATTTTTTTTTTTTTTTTTTATTGGACAATTCACACCAATTGACCTAGTCCCATGTTAAGCTGGTAAAGCTTGTGTTATGGGTGCTAGGCAACGGATATACATACATATTATAGATAGATAGTCATATAAATACATATTTTAACACCCAAGACCTAAGGACAACACCAAATGTTCATCACATCGATGTTTGTCTCAGCCGAGGATCGAACCCGGGACCCATGGATTCGCAGTCAGGGGAACTAACCACTAGACCAATGAGCCGTCATAATCATCTATCATCTTTCTCTCTCCCGTCTCACTCTGATACCTCATTAACAAATATTAATGTAAATTATAATATGAAGAATATAATATACCTTGCAAATCATAACATGCATTTCCAGTTCTGCAAATCTTCTCCCCAAACACATCCGCCTGCCGAAGCCAAAAGGCAAAGACGCAAATGGGTGTTTGTATGACGACTTTTGAAGCCATCGTTCGGGACGGAACTCTTGCGCATCCGCGAAATATTCATCGCTATTGCCCATAACGTAGTGTTGGAAAATAACTTGAGTCTGCAATACATATTTTATTTTTTTAGGAAATATATATATATATCACTATTCGGTTTGCTTTTCTTTTGTTACTTCTTTGATTTCTTTGAAAACTAAGATGAAAACTATTTGAATTCACTAAACAGTATTTTAGTTAAAATTATAATATTACTGACGTCGGTTTGGAGAATACTATTTATTACTAGCTGCCCCGCGACTTTCGTTTCGCCTTAAGATTATTTTTTACCAAGTCTACCTTTTTATTTGCTACATACCAATATAGAACATTTTGCTATGCCAGCATAGAAACTGTTTTCAGATTTTTCCGTGAAATTTTTCTAATAAAATAAATCAATAAAATCTCCAGGGTTCAAGGAATAAATAAATAAAAACATTCAGTACAGTTACATCAAGCTCTGAATCGCGCTAACGATAAACGAAGTTTCAAAGTTAGTAGTTAGGTGAGTTAATTTAAAATTATCGACATCAAATGTTGATTGAGGTTTCTCCATTCAGGTTAAGAAAGCGCCTCAACAGAACGAAGGAATATGTTAATTTATATGTAATTCGTTATAAGAATTCTAAAAACTTACGCCTTGAGGAATTTTATATCCACATATGACAGTGTCTTTGGTCAATTGTCTCCCGTTGCCTATAACGACTGGGTATAACCTAAAAATATAAAGAAGATGTTAATAAACATAATTAATAATATACAGCGTACAGTTCATACGATTTCATTTCAGTTCATTCAACTGTGTAATAATATGCTGGTAAAATGGTTTCGTGTCGAAAGATCGTTAATATGAAATCCACCGAGGCATTGTTCACGTATAATCCGGGAAACCTGGGTTCAGTTCCCGGCCAAACCAATTTTTTTTTAATAAGAAGAAGTTTGCCTTTAAAAAATGGTTTTGGAACTACAATACCCAACCGCCTCTGTATTAAACAAATGTAACTACTCGTTTTAGCAAAAATTCTCCCAGAAAATAGAGTTATATTATTGATAACACTATCAATTACATCAAGTAACGATGTTTAGAATGCTTCACAGCAATCGTGGTCAGAGAGAGAAAGAAGATTTTTGTATGTTTAGTAATTGCGTATACTAAGGGAAATGTCCATATACAGTAAATTATGAAAACTTTAGTGACAGAGTTAGAAATAGTTTTCAAAAAAAGTATAATGTGTCCTACCTCAAAACTTCCTTAACGCAGGCTTTTAAATAAGGCATTTGGCTTATATCGCCCGCCTTTAATTGCCGCCCCTGTACCACACTCGAAATCTCTTCATACAGCCTTTCTTGAATTTCTGGGCGAGATGAAAGCTGGTACAATGTTGATGCTACGGCATTGGATGTCTGTAAATAACATTATACTCTTACTATTAATTATATACTTTGTATAGCTTCACAACAGAAACGAATTCTACAATGAGCTGGCTCGTCAGAACTTTGGTGTTTACCATATTTTTGTACGCATCAGAGCCCTGATCAATTCGTGCAGCGAACCGAAAAAAGATAGAGGCCTTCGAGATGTGATGTTGGAGAGAATGTTGCGAATACCATGGACTGCAAAAAGATCCAATAAGTCCATTCTCAACCAACTAAATATCACCACCATTTATAAACGAGTGCTTAGCTACTTTGGCCAAATTGCCAGGAGTCTACTACTACTAGTACTGAATAGTCTCGACAACCTGGTAATGATCGATCGCCTACCCGTTGGTATGAGCTAATTAAGACAATTATGGGTCTTAAAATCCCTAATGCACTTAGACAATCTGAGCATAGAGTGGTGTGGAGGAAGCAAGGACTTATCGGTTAGGGCTTTTCATAAAGGCAACTTCAGTAATGAAGCCTGAGAAGAAGAAAAATATGTAAAGGTTGTGTTCATAAGTTTTATTTCATTAAATCCATTCTAAGCAATCTTAGCCTTGGGACCTCCGGTGCCTACCATCCGAATTAAATAAATTATGATAAATAACACAATAATGATTATTATTTATTGTGTTAAATTTCCTACACCGAAGAAAATGCAAATAAATGAAAATATTTTATAGACATAATTATTTTAAATTATAGCAAGGATTATTGATTATCCATTCAAACAAATACTGTGTGTATTATAGGTTGAGGCTGTCAAGGAGTGGTAATAATTCAGCAGCAAGTACTACCTGCCTTTGTATTTAAATTAGCGCTCATTTTTAAACCTTACATATAGCTTACCGTATCTATTCCTACGAGGAACATATCCAGTGCAGCCACTGCAGCGACCCTGGACCCGGCAGCGGTCACGAGGTCTTGAAGGAGAGATTTATTGCTTACTTTCTCACTTGATTCTAGCGCCCTCTCTACGTGCTTTAAAGTAACACTGAAATAAATGAATATATTGTTAGCGGACAAACGCCATCTTGTAGCAGAAACCTATATAAAGCATAGCAACACCGGCGTTGACTCACTTTTATTTCGAGTCTTCGTGCGGAACGGACTTGTTACTAACCTAACCTCAGTAGTACCTACACGTTCTAATCTTTTGTGTTAACTAATAATATAATAATTATTTATTTATTTATGCAGACAGTCTATTTCGTATTCTGCCTCGACGTCTGATGATGAAACTCAGCTGCAGGTATTAATCCGAACAACTCCTCTGAACACTCTCCATGGTAAATTCGGTAGAAGATGAAGAGTGACCCCACATCTCTACTTAACGCCAAGAAATCAAGCCGCTCGGAAAGGGATTGGTCGTCGACGGTTTGAACCGCTCTTCGTTGAATACGTTCAAGTGGAAGGAGCTGGTACTGGGGAGCTCCCGCCCAGAGGTGAGAACAGTACTCCGAATTTGCGCTTTACACAGTTGCAAGCGATGGTGAAGTACGGTCTTGCCTTGCTGAGCAGACAAAGCTTTTTGGAGGCCTTTCCCTCGTAAAGTGTATAGAAATAAAGATTTTTGTTAACATGCAATAATCTTCGACAACTATTAATTGTTGAATCTTACCTAAGTATCGTATCAAGTGCCGCCACGTATCTCCTAAACATCGCAGTGGGATATATCCTCCACCAGGGAGTTCTCAGTTCCAACTCTCCTACACAGAGGAAGAATGTATGGACAGCATTGATCAGACGCTGGCTGTCTGAACCTTCGCTAGAGGAGAAGCAGCCAAGTCGCGTGTCCAGCGCTATTAAGCCAAGAGCTGGAAATAAAATAAAGTTAAGCTAAGCTTGAAGAACGGTAAATTAGTATCTATAATACTAATGGTAAGATTCTCAGATTATAAAAACGAATTCAATTTGAAATTGATACTTAGACTCGACTTCTCGTAGCAGCGGTTAATGTGGTCAGAACAATTTTAAATATATACATTTCCCTAAGGCTTATTGTAAAATCTATTTTAATCATTTGTTTCCCGTATAACGACTTCAGTAAGTAAATATAATTTAATTCCGTCATGTCTGTATTGTTTTATTTTATTTTGATTGTCCACATCGTATTTCGTCTTTTAATGTTGTTTTCTAAAGTCAAGTTAGTGTTATGCTATGGCTGTCATTTGCTGCTTCTAATATTAAAATACTTGATTTTCAATATGTCATATGTACTCGTATGTACAATATCTAATATATAAAATTCTCGTGTCGCGGTGTTTGTGGTTAAACTCCTCCGAAACGGCTCGACCGATTCTCATGAAATTTTGTGTGCATATTGGGTATGTCTGAGAATCGGACAACATCTATTTTTTATCCCCCTAAATGTTAAGGGTAGTCCACCCCTAAATATTTTATTTTTAGATATTTGTTTCTGTTTTTTTTATGATACAGCATTAAAAAATACATATAACCCCTAACTTTCACCCGTCTACGATCAACCCCTATTTTTTTATTATAAATGATATACATGGCAATACGACGTTTGCCCGGTCAGCTAGTATAATATAATAAGTTGTATAATTGAAATAATAACTTACATTCCAATGACCATTTATGTATTTCGTTGAGGAAATCGTCTGGAGTCTCCGAATTCTTATCTCGTATTTCTCGTATCCTGAAAATTAAATATTCTTAATAAATCTTAAATATATGATTGTAACAATTCCATAGACATTTAACCCATTCAACGCTATGCAATGCTACGCATGCTATTTAAGCCTTGACTTGTACTAAACTAAACTATCGCGGGATATGTTTAAGGAGTATTAAGAATATCCATAGCACTAAATCACCTGCATCATGAGCACACCCGTGAACACACCCACACTTTTACACCATCACACAACATAGCCGTTTTATGTATTACCTAGTTAATTGTATTAAATATCTTTTGTTGATTTTTTATTTTCGTAAATGTTTGAAACTTTTTGTACATTATTAAAAATAAAATATGGATATTTGGCTATATTATGTTAGCTGTAGGATTACGAAACAAATAAATAAAATATTAAGATTATATAAATAAACTAGCAGACCGGCCATGCGTTGCTAAGGCTAAGGTTTTTGTTATATTACATAGTAGCAAACTATTCAAGGGAAACGGAAGGAGATCACCAGTTATGGGGACCACCATGCTTTTTTGTTATGCCATTAAATTGTAGCTTATGTGAAACGTTGGTACTTTCAACACAGCGCCATCTGTTAGAATTGTGACTATCAAATAATAAACAAATATTTTGCAATAAAATAATATTGCGGGTATAAATTGAGATGTAAGCTATCCTATCTTTTAAGTTGGATCAAACTACACACGGTGTACAAATTTGATTGATATCGGTTCGGTAGTTTAGGAGTCCATAGCGGACAAACAACGTGACACGTAATTTATATATATTAAGATAATCGGTAGTAACTTTCTAGCCACATATACACAGTAATCAAACCTTTGAATAAAGCTATCAGCGACATCTGCTACTTGTTCTGTATACTGGGCAGCTGCGCCAGTACTGAGAGCGACTCGCGAAACCTTCGTACGAAACGCTGCCCAAGAGTCGCCATGACTGTGCAAACAATATTATTTTAAATAAAACTTCATCAAACGAAAACATTTATGTTTATTATACGAACGACAACTGTAAAACTTTAGTCTAGTAATGTAAAAAAAATAAGTTTAAATATAGTAGAAGAACTCGCATAAATCCAAGGCAATTTCTTTTATGTATTATTAAATATTAATTTAAAAATTCGGTCGTAGGGTCTGGTGTGCAGGCGCTAATTAAAGATTTGAGTGTGCCTGGTACATAATACCGGTGACCAGAGCTGGTGCTTTTCTCGCTCAACGAATAAGTATCTCAATACATCGAGGAAATGCTGCCAGCGTTATAGGTACACTCAAAACTCAAACTCAAAATATCTTTATTCATGTAGGTAAACAAGTACACTTATGAATTGTCAGAAAGAAGTTGTAAATTGACATTTACTACCAGTTCGCAAGTCAAGGGCGTAGAGCGGGTATTGGTATGTTATTTAAAGCTGGCGGCTTCAACACATTTACACTTTGTGCTTGTGTAGTGTCTGTGAATAAGCGCGAGTCGTGATGTCAAACTGAAATACAATCACAAATACATTATGAAAAGACTGTCCGTCTCTCTCGCGCTCGGTCACGCTTATGAGTATAAAAGAGACAGTTATTGTTTTGTTTTTGCTACTGTTTATGTTGATCTTTACAATACATGTTGATCTTTTTTCAAACATTACCAGGGCAATCTTGTGAAATTTTGCACAATGTTTTTACTTATTTTAAGCATCTTAATAAAAACAGTAAAATGAAAAAATTTTATATTTCATTTGACATCAGATGCTGAAAGCTGAAAGCTGATTTGATTTTTTTTTTGATTTGTTGAAAGCTGGGTTCACCACCATACTCCTGAATCAAAGCAACAGTCCAAACAATGGAAAATATCTGGATCACGTACTCCGAAAACGGCTAAGGTCGTTTTGTCGACCAACAAAGTCATGGCTAGATGGAGCGTATGTCGAAAAATGAAAACTTATTTACACGAACTACTCTTTCACGTTCTTGGTCTGGCTTAGAACTTTTGGATCCACCCTCGTATGCACCTAATATTTATATGTATTTGACACATTCTTATTTATTTACAACCCACCCAACCTTACTAAAACCAGAGTGGACTAAAATATATAGCTTGGCAAAAAAATCATATTATGAAATATACTGTATGTGAAATTGCATTAGTGTGAGTACTGTGAACCCGCCAGCTTTCGATAACCGACCTATAAGAAGAACTGGCACTACCCCAGTGACCTTACTTTTTTAATTTGTTTTAATTTTATTTATTTTTTACTATGTAGGTTAAGAAATGTTATGTGTAAGTTTTAGGTACATAATAATGTATTTACAGAGTTATAAAATATTAATTCTTGTGTAACTTTGTATTTATAACATGCCAGAGCATTACGAATTTAAATTACACTTTAGTATGTTTTAATAGATGTTTGCAATTGTTGAGTATACTTACACGGCGATCACTCCTGCGCAATCCTTCTCGGCGCCAAAAAAGTCCTTCCTCAGAGTGTGCTTGTAGTAATTTAAAGACGGCATTGGTGGTCTAAAATAAAAGTGTATAAATATTATATTTATTCGTATTAATTCAATTATTTCACTCCGGGAGTGCCGGCAGAAGTGAAAACTTGAATGTATAGGAAATACGTTGTGCATTTTTGATATTTTGGAATGGTTAGGGAATAATTTTGCAGGAATTGCTTTAATTATCAGTATAAACGTATTATCATTTATGTGGTAGAATACAATATTTATTTATTGCGCTATCGTACACAAACATGACAATTTATATTACATTAAATACGCCGCGCCAGCTGTCTACTCTCCATCCGTCGTAGTATTAAATAATTCAATTAGGAAAATTCACTATTTTTTAAGTTGCCATTTTTTATTCGCGTCAGTCTGACCAAATCGTTTATAATAATGCTTAAGACGTTTCGCAAAATTAAACCTTGATGTATTGACTTAATGTCCAATTCCACATGCTTCAATGTATCTGAGGAAAGAGACAAATGAATTAAAACCGTAACTTTATAGCACGAAGGTTCACAATCCTTTAAAAAAACATCCGTCTTACGAATTTGTCCTGACGCGAGTTTAAAATTTTTTACCCATTCCAAAAAAAGTGTACAACGCCGCTAAAGAAGTTTTCACTTCAAAAATTAAATATCCAGATGCAGGGTTGTTCCGTTACTGGATTATTTTAATGTAATGCTTTGTGTCTAATATAATTACCGATGCGGTGCAGCATCTTCGCTTCGAAACACCCTCTCGACCTCACCAGCATCAAACACAAACAGCATATCCGGTCTGCCAAGAAGCCCAGCGATTTTGACACATTTCCCGTACTGCTGACGGAGCGACATACATACTTTGTCAACGTGTTCTACAGAATAGCCACCTGGAAATATTATGAGAAATAATTCAAAGTAATATGGTAAAAAAAATTCATTGATATGTAGGCAAAATACAATTAGGTACTTTAAACTGACAAAAAGAGACGATTTTTTTTTTTTTTTTTTTTGTTAACCGCTAGATAAGTTCGGTGGCGGTTGTTGTTTGGATAAGTTCAGATATATTAACAATAAAACATGAGCTTATAACAAATATTAGGGGTAGTGGGATTGCGAGTTGCGACGCTGGAATAAAAAAAATAATTTGACTTAGGGTGCGTCCACATCTGGCGAATATGCCGCGAATGTGCAGTCACGGCATTAGTTATGTGCGCCTCTTTAGCGCAACGAGAGGTCGTAAATCTAAGTGACACTTATGTTATTAGACATTATCGGAAACGATAATGTTAAAATACAATTTATGAGTTTGGTAAAAACTAAAGGGCTCATATTGGCTTCAAGTGTGCAAGATTGTTTACATTTTGTATGCGCTTCTAATTATTAACCAAAATGTGTGTAACTTAACTAATTTTAGGTTACATAACTCGCTAATATAACATTTTTCATCTACTATCTTGAACACATTAGATGTACCACGAACTTTAAACACGAGTTTTAACCTGGTCCGTTATAAGGCTCCGAATATCAAACATGTATAATACAAAAGAATAAACAACTAAATATTAAATGCAAAATAAAATAGCATAATTTGTAAGCAAGGCCCCTCTTTGCGAGTCATTTTGTCTGCAACTGGATAAAATCTAATATATAAAATTCTCGTGTCACAATGTTCGTTCCCATACTCCTCCGAAACGGCTCAACCGATTCTTGTGACATTTTATATGCATATTCAGTAAGTCTGAGAATCGGCTTCTATCTATCTTTCAAACCCCTAAGGGATAAGGGGTGTCCACCCCAAAGAAATTTATTTTTTTTGGTTAACATTTATTTTTATTTTATTGCATTAAAAAATACATGCAACCCTTAATTTCCACCTTTCTACAATCAACCCCTATTTTTTATTATAGTAGATAGTTATTTTTATCGAACTAAAAGAATGTTTCCTAGAAATAATATACATGGCAAAACGACGTTTGCCAGGTCAGCTAGTTTCTTTATAAAACTGATAAAACCTAAGCAGGCAGAAATATAGAGCCTTAGCTGTTACCCTAATGATTAAAACATTATTAGACGAGGAAAAAATTGACCGAACAATTGTTTTATTAATAAAAACTAGGTCTGATAATCTTAACCCAGTTAAATATAAATAAAATATGAAGTCACTTTTATAAATCTATTATATCGATATTTTTATTAAGTCGATATTAGGATTTAAGACACTTAAAAAAAATCAGTGGCGCTACAACCTTTTTAGGTCTAGGCCTCAGATTTCTGTATCTGTTTCATGTCATCTAATAGGCAAGTAGATGATCAGCCTCCTTGACACGCCGTCGACTTTTTTGGTCTCAGGCAAGCCGGTTTCCTCACGGTGATTTCCTTTACAGTTCGAGCGAATGTTAAATGCGCCCATCAAAAGAAAGTCCATTGGTGCACAGCCGGGAATCGAACCTACGACCTCAGGGATGAGAGTCGCACACTGAAGCCACTAGGCCAACACGGCTCTAAGACATTTCACTTACGATATTATCGCCGTAATTGCGCATTTAAACTTTCCGTTGGAGTCAGCTTCCAACACACGACTAGAGAGCGCTTAACTTCTAGATTAAGTGAGTGCATAATTAACATTTATAATAAGTTTTTTTACTAAACTTCTAATTAATTTAAAAATATCCCTAATATAAATACGCACTATGACGCTGCCAAATAATAAAAAAAAGGGTGCGTGTACTTATGTACGCGCGTAAGAAGTTATACTTCTTTGGCATTATTAAAAATAGTTTTTGATTGCATGCAAATAATTAATTACAATTAAATAATCAAAGACTGGAAAAGGAGTCATTAAAGTCAATAAAGTTCAGTTTACATTTGAAAAATTAATTAAATAAATATTTATTATTATTCTCTTACATTAAACAAATAAAACACTATTTATCTTTAAAACATTTTTATTTCATTATACTATTTATTTTTAAGTGACTCTAATGTCTTCATCAGAATTTCGGTTTGTAATTTTAAATTAATCATTACTTGGTTGTGCATCTACGAGGCTTCTCCAAAACTACTTGCTTTCTGCAACAAATAAGAGAATATTAATTTAAGCTCTGTCCATGCAAAACTTAAAATTTTTTTATAATTCATATTATAAATTTTTTAACACATTTATATTAATATAATTATATAAATGTGTTAATAATATAATTTGTAGCACATGCTACAGACCTGGATAGCAACTTTCTTTTATTCTATTTAGAGATAGAGATAATTTAAATATAATACCGGTGTCTTCCTTGTAGGTTTCTTTGGAGTTGTTTGGGGATTCTTGTTGTTCAGTTCGACATGATTTTCTTTAACCTTTCTTTAATCCTACAAAATAATGAAATTGTTAAGTTATGTTGTCACTGTTGTGCACACCTTTGTTTGGCTTTTTTAGTATTCAAGTTATGTCAAAACTGATTTATTACCTTGTCATTGTTGGCTTTATTTGCTTTTGGGATATCAATTGTTTCCAAAATGATTTTATTTGTAATAACCTGAAATATATAAATAACATCTATTAATTTAAGTATCATGGTGAGTGGTTCGCACTCAGGTATTAAGGTGTATTATACCTACTGTCCATTATAAGTGGGAATGGGCTCACTTCTGGCAGGACAGAGTTTCGGTACTACAAATGCAACATGGATGTTTTGAGGTATTACAATATCTCTAACTACCCTGTAGGGGAATAAAGTAATGTTGTAAGCACATGCCTATGCTTGAAAGGTTGAACCTTGAACATCACCATACATCATATTTATAATTAACATTCCTACCTCGACACCATCACAATCAAATTCATTGAAATCTACTTCAAACCATTGTGTCTCGAGAAGGTGATGGTGGCTTTGTTCCACCTCCAGTTTTTGATGTTTCACGGCGATAAGATGACAACTCTTTTTTTTGTATTCAATTTAGTGCACTTCCACTGATTCATCAATTGTTTTCTGTCTCTTGTCCTTATATTTGCTAGATTAAATCTGATGTTTTGATTAAATAATGTGGTCATTTTTTTGAGATGCAGGTACTTATTAAAATGTTTACTTCTCTGTTATATCGCTCCAAGCCTTCATTTTCTCCTTATTAGTATTCGTGCTTAAATCTTTGTTCTCAATTATTGATATATAGGGTCGTAGAATATTTCTTAAAAGTTGCTGTAACAAACGCAATAAACAAAAGCAATGAATAATGGTTCATGTTTCAGTTTTAATCAACAATAATACTCGATAATACATACGGATAGTTAACTTCAATTGTATTGAAGCACTCAGGAAGGTTAGCACAGTTTTTTCACAAATATTTTATATTATTTCACAAATATTTTGTATAATGAAAATAACTAGGTATATAATTATTAATTTTAAACAATAATTAAAACTCCTATATTTGTTTAAAAGGTAAATGTCATTGTCAGATGTCAATTGTCATGGTCATTCAAAATTCTTGTTAAGCTGCTAAGCTAGAATATGCGTGAAGTTAGCTTCACGCATATTCTATTTCTTTTACTTGTAGTTTGTCTTATTCCCATCTCGCTCGCGCATGCTATATCACACTGCCAATTTTGTGTCATAGGTGCGCGCGCAATCGTAAAATTTCACTCTCATCAATTTTTCATAACGCGCCTAAAGAAGTACAACTTCAATTTTTTTCTGCTTTACCAAAAATTTCTGGTAACTGTATTGTATACTTATTTTATCAAGTATATATTTTAATTGTATTTTTAAAAAAAATTTTTTTTGTAAAATATGCCGTAGATTTAGTACTATGTATGATCAAACTTTAATAAATAAATAAAACAAATGAAATAGATAACTATTCAAAAACATCCTACAGACTACCACGACTTGTCACCTTGCCCCCAAATCATTATTACAAATCATTAGTTTATTATGAAACAATTTAGTATTCCGAATTGGAATGACATTGGTGACACGCTTCCATATGCATACGAATGTAGAAATAACGAAAGACGTACAAGTTACTATAACGTTATTAATTTCTAGTCTTATAAGCAGTCAGTTATTTTTAATAATAGTATTATGATAAGACTCTTAAATTCTTAGATAAGGGATAATTGTACTGTGTTATTAAATACTAATATTACACATGAATTTTGGAATGACACTCACTGGATTAAAAACTTCCCATTATCCAAAATAAAAACCAATGACATAAATTATTAGGTACACAACAGGCAGCCTTATCGCTAACAAAGCTATATCTTCCAGGCAACCCTAGAGGAAAAACCTAAAAAAATAATACTAGGGGTAATTTATTTTCAAAATATTTTTAAAATAAATAAACAGACGTGCGAAGCCATTTTTTATTTCTGTGTTAAAAATGCATTTGCGCATCTAGTCATAATTTTAAAGGCTAGCAACACACTTGCGATCCATCTCACGTATCACTTCACATCAGGAGAGCCTCCTGCCCGTTTGTTACATAAAAAAAGGAGACAGGAGTATATCTTCTCCTATCAAATCTTTCTGCTCGTTTTATGACCCTTCTTTTAAATCCAATGATCCGACTCTGACATTTAAACTACGGCCGAATTTGCACTGCCAGGATATCATACGTGCGAAGCCTGGAGAGTAGCATTTTAGATAATGGTATTTTAATCTAGGAGAACTGTATATTTACATTTTATATAACAATTAATTGTTATTTAAAAAGTAACAAAAATACAATAATTAATTAATCTTTTCCCTGTAGGAGAAATATATAAGATAAATGAACGAATTTATGCGTAATTTTTTTAAATTACAAGGTATTGCTAATCGCTATATATTGAGTTTATAATTGAAATGTATACAGTACTATGATGGAATTGCACGAGTATACAGCGTCATATTTAAATATTTGTGTGAATGATTACCATTTAAGTGATATTTGTTTCGCATCTAAAGTTCTATTATGTCTCAGTTTATATAAAAAATTGAAATATTGCCTGTATTGTTTTGAAGTTTATTTTTTTAGTTTCTTTCAAAATAATTGTATTTACGCTGAGATGAAAAGAGTGATACTTAGCCCATAGACACTTACATTGCCAGAGGGCTCACAAGTGCGTTGCCGGCCTTTGGCCTAGACGGATGCTTTGTTAGAAAGAGTGTAATTACCATTACACTACTTTTATTTACTTTTCAGCACACTACATCAAAAAACTTTTAGAAAGGGAAACAAGAAGAAACTGTATAAGCTAATATGTAGGTTTTTTTTTTTTTTTTTTTAAAGACAATTCACACCTATTGACCTAGTCCCATGCTAAGCTGGTGAATATTGTGTTATGGGTACTAGGCAACGGATATACATACATATTATAGATAGATAGACATATAAATACATATTTAAACACCCAAGACCTAAGCACAACACCAAATGCTCATCACATCGATGTTCGTCTCAGCCGGGGATCGAACCCGGGACCCATGGATTCGCAGTCAGGGGTACTAACCACTAGACCAATGAGTCGTCCAATGAGGTATATAATATCTTTACATAAATTAAATTAATTTTATTAAATTTGAAAAACTTTACGTTAATAATTTTCAATTTTGGAATATTTAACACTAAATAAGTATTAAATATGCCACATTTTTATCATCTATAATGTACCAAAAAACCACATTATCATTATAAACCACTTTTGAATTGACATTTTATTTCTACTGGTACAGAAAGTGGGTTTCCTGAAGAAAGAAGTGGGTGATAATTCTGTATATATACTCGTAAGTACCATTTCTTGTAAGACTAACCGGTCCGAAGATTACCTAATTTGAAAACCTGTTCGCAGTTCTACTTTTTAACTGGTTAAAATTACTACTTATACGTTAATTACTGTATAATTACAATAATACGATTCACAAAAAATAAATTTGTAACGGGTTTCAATATCACAATTTTATCAAGAATTAAGCTGAATCCAAATTATAAACCGTTCAGTTTTGAATGCGATATCAAGAGATAAACACCGAAGTGACAAAGTGCGAATATAGTGAAGACAAGTGATAAAGTACTGTGTGAAGGGCGTGTAATTAAAGTAATTAGTGACAGTATTTTGTGTGTGTATTTAGTGAATTTTTGTGCGTAATTTCCAGTTTTTTGTGTTTACAAATTCCTCGTAGATTTAATTGAAAATAAACCCTTGAAGAAATCTACGGCGTTTCTATTCGATCCCCTAGCTCGTAACATTTCCATACGCCTTTGGTAGTACAGTTGGCAGGACTACCAAAGGCGTATGGAAGCGAAGTCTGTCTTATTTTATAGTCTAGATTTTGATGATGAATGATTCCCTAAATTAAGCTAACCGGAAGCGCTTGAATTGTTTCTATAAAATGTTTAAATTTTCTAAACATTACAGATTTTTTTGTAATAATACTTTAAAAGATCCCAACGAATTCCTTATTCTTTAAAGCGGTATAAATGAATAAAGTTGTATATTATTAAATATTTATATTTGTTCAAATAAACGTACCGATATAAGGTATGAACCGCCAGGTATTGCCCAAGAGGGGTAGTGGTTTCGGTCCAGGCACCTCTTCCCAACTCCTGACTGAAGGTATAGCTTCGAATACGGTGGACACGGCATGCGTTGATCTGGCACGATGATTTTGAATTGGACATTGTGTTCTGGGTAATCCTGAAATAATTAATTTACATTGTACCAAGAAAAACAGATTTTTTGAAACAGACCCAAAAGATTTGTATGTGCCCAATGTATGCTATCCGCCCATGTACACTCTAATCTTGACCCGTACATTAATGCTATCGATTATTTAAAGACATAAAACCGTTATTATTAATGAGTTTGATAATATGATATCACTTTTTTTAAGTCCGTTACTCGGTTCATAACGTTCAAGAAGAAAAATTTCCTGGTGAGACTAGTATCTCCAAATGACATGAGTTTGATAAAAAAAAATAATTAATTCTTACCTGACAAAAACTTGTAAGTTTTTATCAGGATATCTCTCAATTTAAAGATCTATCTTAGTAGTAGATAGGTACTATTCATGTTTTCAATGCGTTGTAACCGAATAAACCTAATAAAGAAATGCTTATTTTAAAATCAAATAGATGATGATACTGATTACTGTTATATGTGAAAATTAAGAATGGAATTTAGTTCCAACTATATAAATCAAAGCCTACAATTTTAAACGATAGTACAGCCTTGGGCGAGTCTACCAGCAATTAAAGACTATTTAAACATCAGATTAACATCGAGTACTTCTTTAATCAAATAAATACGCCTTAAGCACACACTTATAATATTTGCTTTGAAAACAGACTAAAAATTTTGTATGCAAAGTCAATACTTCATACAACAAATGTTGAACAAATATTGAATTATTCTTACGCAAGGTTCTCTTGGAAATTTGTAAGTTCATTAAATCAATTCCACTTAATACCTAATTAGACATATACCTTTAAAAGTATCCGAGTCACAATCACACAGAGAAAATTTTAATATTTGCTGTTATTGTTTCCCAGCACAAATGACATTTAGGCGAAATTAATTACGATACTGCTTGCCCTAGTAATGTGTGCCATGATCAAATACCAATAGTAAATTGTTTTTTTTTTTGTAACGGGAAAACGGGCAGGAGGCTCACCTGACGTTTAAGTGATACCGCATAGACATTGCCAAAAGACTCGCAAGTGTTTTGTCGGCCTTTTAGGAACTGGTACTATGCTCTTTTCATGAAGGGAGCTAGTTCCTCATAGTGGTGGTGCGCGGCAAAAACTGTCTTAAGAAACGTTCAGTTGTGGGACGACATCGAGGTGATACGGAAGGTATTTTGTATTCTGCCTTGACGACCGATTAGGAAACTCGGCTGCAGGTATCAATCCGAACTAGTCTGAACACTCTACATAGTAAATGCGGTTGAAGATGCAGAGAAACCCCACATCTCTACGCAACGCAAAGGGATCAAACCGCTCGGAAAGTGATTTGCGCAAGTTAGCCTGTGAAGTTCACTATAAAACTCGTATGCGTGTGCGATGTATTGCGCGATACAAAGTATAATTACTCCTATGATTATGCGATTGAAAGGTTGATTAAAACCTGCACAGCGTACAGCCAGCGTATCACCAGTGAGACTTGAGACTATCAAGAAATGGAAATCCCCATATCAATATTTATAACTGTTGTCTATGTATTGGTCATGTCCTGTGGTGTAGTGGTTCGATGTAGGAATACTGTATCTCCAAGCACTGAGTTGGTAACGGTTGAGGTGTGAATGGCAGCCTGTTTTTGGAGAATGGCTCTATAGTGGCTTAATAGTTGAATATAATTAGAAACACTTTTTGCAAAAATTCCTGTTGCGTTCGTTAGAGTATTTTTTTTAAGGACAATTCACACCAATTGACCTAGTCCCATGCTAAGCTGGTGAAGCTTGTGTTATGGGTACTAGGCAACGGGTATACATACATATTATAGATAGATAGACATATAAATACATATTTAAACACCCAAGACCTAAGCACAACACCAAGTGCTCATCACATCGATGTTCGTCTCAGCCGGGGATCGAACCCGGGACGCATGGATTCGCAGTCAGGGGTACTAACCACTAGACCAATGAGTCGTCAAATACCACATACAAGTGAGGTCTATTTGAAGTGGATGATATTTGCTAGTTATATTTCTTTGGCTTCTATGTTATAGTCTCTTGGAACTGTTCTCTGTTAAGTTGGTTTTGGTAGATTATATTTGCTTCTATTTTGATTTAAATAACTTTGATAATAAAATAAAATAAAACACCAATATACAACAGTTATATTCGTAACAAAACCCTAATTACTACACAAGCTTCTTATTAATGATTTTACATTATAAAATGCTTACCGATTTCACTTCCATCAGGTTTATCAGCTGGGCTCGTGTTGAAGTTTCTCACATTTAATCTTCTGGGCCATTTCACTACACTCACTCGATGTCTCATTTTTTGTTACCTAAAATAATATAGCTTAGTAATATTAACTGTATTACTAACTACGAGTAAAAGAAGAAATACCAACGAACACACAACTAGGGACACAATGGCTATACTTAGGTCCAGCCTTGCGATTCTGTAACTCACTTTTGGAACTCTCACAGCGGTTTTGCTTTACGACTGATTTGAGCGCGACCGCCGCTGTGAAAACCGCTGTGTGAGTTCGAAAAGTGAGTTACAGAATCGGAAGGCTGATTCTAATTCGTTTCTCAAGTCACGCTCTCGTCTCGAGCACTGCCATATATGTCAAAATGCATTCAGAAAAAATGGACAGCTTTATACTAGATTTAAGTTTTATTGACGTTTTAGAATACGGGCCTTAATAATCGTCTACATTTTGTGCTACCCACTCAAGATTTATTCAACTACCGTCAAGTTTGAGGAATGTTTTAAATAATGTATGTATGTCGCCGTTATTTGAATATTACATGTTTAATAAATAATTATAAATTAATTAAAAAGCAGGTTATTCTAGGGTGGGCGGCTTTTACAATTAAATGAAATGGCAGTACGTCATCAGACAATTGACATGATGACTCTTAATAGACTATATCACAATAGACACTATACAATATTATTACAGTTTATATTTTTTTATTTTTTATTTACAATCAAGTATACAGTATTTACAATTTTCTTAACCTACAAAGTAATTATTACATATTATATTATTATTACATAATACTGCTTTTTATATGTGTATATCCTCAGTTAGAAGTAATTGCATTTATTTTAGTTAGACATTTTATTGCACTACAGTCTACATTAGGGGGTCACTATCAGTGAGACCTTTGAATCTAGCTATCGCTAACGCAGTTGTAATGTTACGTCGCCATTTTGGATTTAGACTTCCACAGATCCCAAAAGGGTTGTGTAATAAATTTAATACAAAATCAAACGCTAACGTTTTCATTGTCAACAATTGTTAAAAACTCATCTCACATAAATTAAAACAATTGCGCATCGCTGTTTTAAAATGATAGTAATATGTTATTGCACGATATACCTTTCACTTGTATTACGCAGGATATGTAACGAACTGTGCACCGGAAAGTGAAAATTACAGTTGCTAATAATAGCGTGGAAGGCCACGTTGCAGAAACCCCCGATTTTTATAGCTAAGATAGCCTTAAGTTAGGAGGTTCTATTTGTCAAAAGATGCTACAAACTGAAATCGATATAACAACGATTGACTATACAATGTCAGAAGAAGCATTCGGTTAATCAAGTCAAGTCAAAAAGTCAAAATCATTTATTCATATAGGTAACGCAATGTACACTTATGCAAGTCAAAAAAAATGCTTCTTATTTTACATTTACTGCCAGTTCTCAATCAAGGGTGTAGAACGGAAGAGAAGAACAGGCAATAAACTGTCCGCCACTCATTTTAATCGCCAAGTTTTTTGTTTTACACAACGTCTGTAAGGAGCTGCAACCATTACACCATGTTCCACATGATATCTTAAGTAATATATAATGCGCAAGCGACCTTCGAATTGCAATCATTAACTCTTTGATATACAAATTTGTAGGATCATTGGGCTCATCTGATGTTAAGGGATACCGCCGCCTATGGACACTTACATTGACAGAAGGATCGCAAATGCATTGCCGGCCTTTTAAGAAATGGTACGCTCTTTTCTTGAATGACCCTAAGTCGAATTGGTTCGGAAATACTTCAGTGGGCAGCTGGTTCCACATTTTACATGAAATATAATAATAAAATGAAATAAGTAATAATAATGTATAAGCCAATATGGTCTGACATGAGATGTTTGTTATTCCACTAATATGTATATATATAAAACTACCCTATGCATGTGTTCCAAAAATAACATTTATGGATAAACATATAAAGGCGATTTATTTCTAACACACAAATATACAGTATTTACTATATTTTTAACCTACATAGTTAGTTTTGGGCCCCAGAGATGGTGCTTTCCTCGCTCAACGAATAAGTATCGCAATACAGCGAGGAAATGCTGCCAGCATTAACGGAACACTGCCGCGGGGATCAAACTTTTAAAAGTTGTTTTGATTTTCAATTTATCAATTAATAGATATATCTTTCTTCATAATATGAATTGGTCTTCGTAATGATTACATGATTACAGAAATACAGAAAAATATTACATTTATTTAAACGTAACTAATGTATACGTATAGCTAAGTATTTTACTTGTGATAAAATATACTACGTAAAAACTATACCTATATGGAGATCAAACGATAACTTATAAGGAAACGTGATATAGCGAGCCACGAACTAAATGATATCAGTATGTAAAATCAATTAAATATACACGAATTAACGGTCCGATACAAAAATAATATATAAAGAGTGAGAGGAGTGTTGGCATAGTGGCATGAGAGACGTAACAATGAGTTCGTAGATTCGATTACGCATCAATAAACTTCTTTCTTTTTTTTCTTCTTCTTTGTGAGGAATGGCATGTTTGAGACCCATTGAGCATAATACCAGGACAGAAAACGGATCACCTATTTGCCAATTCATTATGCTACGTAATTTTGCCAAGACTACAGGTTGTTTATTAAAAGTAAAAATATTATAAATAATAGTAGTTCATATGTGAAACAGTGCTATCGAAAGTTCAAAATATATCATGATACTTCCATAAACAGGTGTTGAGTGGATATTAAAATAAGACATAATATTTTATTGATGTGTGCGTATACACTGTATATAAATTGATAGTTTTTATGTTTCGTTAATAAATCTACACAATCTTTAAAGTGCTAATCTCGGGAACTACAGTTTCAAATTGAAAAATATTTGGTTTTAAGATACATTCATATGTACACACATATGCATTCACTTGTTTATTAAATACACTATATATATATATATAAACAGCAAGCTATGCCCGAATTATAATTATTACTTTATTTATTTATGTGTATGTGTGTAACATATGTGATGTCATATTTTCTTGTACTATTTTATGTATAAACGTTGTTTTAGAACTTATAAATAAATTACTGGAACGCAGGACAGTGTATTGACAATATTAATACATAATACATAAATAATTTAAAAAATCCGCCGGATGACCGTGAGTAAGTACAATAAAGTAAGGACAAGATGCAGCCCTGAGATGAGAAAAGAAATAAGAGTAGACAGGTCAGGCGATATAGGGATGATCTGCAAACCACGGCGGGGGCTGTGTGGACCAGAATTGCCCGGGACAGAAATAAGTGGAGAGAGCTGGAGCCCTACGTGTCCCTGCAGTATAAACTAGGTTACATAAAGTTAAGGGCGGCCTTATCGCTAACAAGCGATTTCTTCCAGGCAACCCTAGTTTGGAATAATAAAAAAACATCTACTAAGAATAAAGTACGAGAAGTGAATAATTAACAAATCGGAACATAAAATAACATATAACTGAAATAAAGTTAAATCTATAAAAAAAATATAGACAAAAATGTAAAAGTAAATGGTTAATGAGCCACAATTAATATATTTATGTAGCTAATTACGAGGCAGAAGATAAATGATCAAAAAGAAGATTTTTAAATAAATTAAAAGACTGAGCTCGTCTGATATCAAGAGGTAAGAAGTTCCAAATACTTATACTTTGCACAGTAAAGGAGGAGTGATAGAATTCAATTTATGAGTAGTTATTGTATGGTGATAGAAATAAAAATGCTTTAAATAAAGTACAATATAAATAATTAGAGTAACAAATATATAATTAGTACAAATGAGTAAATATTCGTCAGACAATTTTGCAAGGCGAAGGTGTTAAGTAAAAAACTAAATAAAAACCTTTTAAAGTATTAATAAATTGTTAATATAATTATATTTAAAACAATAATGTAAAGAAAGTTTCTGAATAATTGAATTTCTCTTTTATACTCAAAATCCTGAGAAAGAACAAGATACTTTCACAGTTTAAAACCTGAATCGCTACATGGAGCTCATTAAAATTGCGAAATAAATAACCACTCCAAACTCGATACCGCTATCTGCCATACATATTTTTAAAGTCCGTAAAACTTAACGAGATCCTTGGCCCGTGTACCGTGATAAAATAATTGTTTCAAGTTTAATTGGCTTTGGCTTCAGGATTGAACTTGCGTGAAGTTTCTATATTCCGTGTTTTTCTAAAGCACCATCGTATAGAATATGATTGACGTAGAAGAATCATTATAAATGATACATAAAATACGAAACGAAGCGAACTTTGTATAACAAAAACTAACTAAACCGTTTAAATAAATTAAAAAAATATTTTTATTAATTCGCTGACGATGTTATATATAAAAAATATTTAACATAATAATATTAAATTAAGCTTACGAATACAAAATCATTTCCTCTTTTGCTGTTTATATTTTATACTAACATATTAAAAATTCACGAAACACAAATCACTTGTTCCGCCCACAGATGCCACATTCCATTTTTAAAAATTAGAAAATTACCTTAATTTCACACTTTCAAAAATCACTGTCGTAAATGTGTTTATAATTGTGCTATTGTTCCTACCGCGCGGTTACTGACAGACTGAATGACGTCTGTACAACTTACTATCGGCTTTCATGGCGTGTTTCCATGCTACGGCACGTCACGGGAAATCATTTATTTAAAAAAAAGTTTTTGAAGTAATTCTTTAGGCGCGACTAGACTTTTTTTTCTGACGGAAGTAACGCTTAAACGTAGTTTCCGCTATTTAAAATAATACGATAGCGCGTTTTATAAGTCCGTCAGAGCCATCTAGTGGTGCATTTGAATTGATTTAAGTCAGGTAGTTCTTGATAGTGTTTATTTAGGATAGCATTCACTCGTTTTATTTGATACTGATTCTTGTAATTATGTTATTATTAGTATATTTATATTTAATATGAAAATCCATACTAGTAACATGTAACCAAATTAAAATTTCACTAATGAGGTAAGGTTCCCATCCTAGCTTGCTTTTCTT